GGGGAGGAGAGCCAGCCCACGCTTCCCTTCTGCTGAACACCCCAAAACTGTGGGAGTCTTTTGTACGAATGGTCCTGCGGGTCCGTCACTCCTGGGCTCATTCTCAGGTTTGGCACATGAGATTCTTGCATTACGCTGGGCAAGTCTTGCTTGCAAGTTACTTGTCTGCTGTGCTTTCATTTGACTCTGTGTTGATGGGGAATCTACTTTAGCCCAACTTTAAAGATGTTCTAAACCTTTAATCAACTCTTAGCCGTGGCTTTCTGAATTGGGGAAAAAAATCCAGCAGTACAAACACACATAATATAACAATCTGTTCTCCATGAACTCGGTGTATGGGCCTAGAACCACATACTTCCACTTACGGGCCTGGGAAGGACAAATCCATATGGTAGGGAGTTTTAGGTGGTTAGCTAAAGCTCGCTGAGCTATTGCATCTGGCCTCCACGACACATTTTCTCCAAACCCTGGAAAGCGGTATCAGCTGCTCCAGGCTGGCGGGCTAAAACTCTCTTAGCCCAAACTGCCATCTGAGGTGACTGACACTGCACGACCCAGCTCTTAAGAGGCACAGCTACGCGCTCCTCCTCGCCAGCTCTACAGCGGGGAAGCAGCGAGGGCCAAAAGCGGAGCCTGCAGCTGAGGTACACAGCTGGGAGCAGGAACAGCTTCAACTGCCACAACACAATTCGCAAGAACTTGTTCGCCAGAGACCTTCAAAATCCATGCAAGTTCAGGGAGCTTCTTTGGGAGCTCATATTGGCCCCTTGTGGGTTTAGCAAAATTATCTCTTTGGTATATTCAGCCACACTAGCTTGGCACTTACGAGACACTGTGTTTAATCACACTGCAAACTGTTTGTCCAAAATGGAGATTTGAAAAAAACAAACAACCCCCCAGTTCTGCACTTAAAAATAGCTTTCCAGGACAGCACAGTTAAAACAGCGCAGTTACGATGGCTCGTCTCTACGGCCTGTTTGCACTGGTTGTTCTCTGGCTTCACCGAGGCTGCACCAGAGCTCAAACCTGACTTTCTGCAAGCGCAGATGTTTCTCTTAAGGCTGGACACTGGCATCTGTGTTGCTTAAAGGGGAGCGAGAATAGTTTGACCCTAGTGATCCTCCTCCTACAGATACTTACGCACTAATCTTAGATTTCTTATAACCTCTCCCACGTTAAGTGCTGGCAAAGAATATATAAATATTTACTGAGTTTAATCCGTCTGAGAATACCCTGGCTGCTCCCAAGGTGCCAGTTTACCAAATTCCACAAGGTAATTAATTGCTTCAATGGTCCAAAATAGCTTCGACAGAGGTCTCCAAGGCCAGCCCCCTTTTCTTGGTGTTTGACTTTGGTGATTTGTCCGGATAAAGTCAGTGTAAACTGATCATGCGGTTAACAACAGCCCACTTACCAAGAAAATGATCTGCTTGGGTAGGAAGACGGCGGGACGTCAGGCTGAAGTGGACATGCATGTGAAGGCGCACGCAGGCGCACACGCAGAAACCCTGGCCACCTTGCTCCAGCCTGCGTTTCAACGCTCTACTAAAGGGAAGATTTTGTTGCGAGATAATGATGGTGTTTATTAACACAACCGTTGCCTGACATGACAGCATTTGGCCTTATTTACCTTCGGTGTTTGTGCGCGCTGCGCTTTGCGGTATTTAGTGCTCACAGGCGCCAGGGGTATACCTCTCGGGCTGAAGTGCTATGCATGTACGCAGCGCTGCGCTGGGAGGGCAATTCCCATTTCTCAAAGAGCATCTCACATTAGCTACCTGGGGCCTCTGCGACTCAAGGGAAGAGCCCAAAAAGGGGAGTCGGGCGAACTGAATTCAGAACAGCAAGCGTAGCCAACAGACAGACATTCACCTGCGACAACCTCTGTAAGGAAGGCCTTGCGGGAACCCGTTTGCCTCAACGCTGTTGAGCGTACGGCCGCTGGGCAAGAGGAGAGCCCGCCGCGCCATCGCCCACTGCACGACCACATTTAGGCAACTGACGGAGGAGCTGACCGTACGGCTGCCCTGGAGACACGATCTGTTACGCTAAAAAGAGCCTCCACCTCTGCAGGTTAGCCAGAGTCAGCAAAGGGTCTGAGAGCAAGAGCTGAACACGTTGCACGAAATCGTTGAGTTATGGACTCCAAATCTTGCAGATAACAGCGGAGAAGTACCTGCACCCTCCTCCCACCCATCCCACTCTTCCATGTCCTGGGCTACAGCTGATATATGATTTTTCTGCCTCAACAGCCAAAAATACTGCCTTTTCTTCCTGTTCGTTTTCCTTTTGCAGAAGGACAGAGCTTGGCTCCAAGAATGTATTGACGCAGGACTCTATGTCAAAGCAGTTTATAACCATGGGGGTTACTCAGTTCTGCTTTATATAAGCTAGTCATAATTACGTGTTTAAAATACAGGGAATCGAGCATTCTTGGCGGAAAAAATACAGACTATTTAGACTTTTATGCCACAGCCATAACCTTAGCATCTGAGCACTCGGTACTGCCTGCAGGATAACAACTACACATCAAAGAAAACACAGCAGGGCCCCAATCCTGCACGTAACAGCAGGCCTTCCCGCAAGGCCTGGGCTCACCAGGTTCAGCACCCGTCCAGCAGCACGCGTCGCGCGCTCCTCACCGCAGGGCGGAAACCTCTAAACGCTCTGTCCCTATTTATACAGTCAGCTGGGCTTTTTTAAACATAGCCCCCAACCCCAGTCCCCACACCTTCTCAGAAAGGGATTCGTTTTTGGACAGAGGCAAGAATGAACCCCTGAGTATTCACTAACACCAAGGAGGGAAGGGCTAGTCCACCAAAGAGCGCCAAGGCGAGCCAGCTGCTTTGCGCCCCGGGGCAGGCACCGCCTCACCCTCTGGGGGGATGGCATGGGGCATCGATTTAAGAACCCACTGAACTAAAAAAGAAAACAAAAATTAAAAAAAAAAAAAACCCTGCGATCGCTTTAATGCTAAAAACGTACATCGGTCCGCAGAGCAATGCCCACTGGGTCATCAGTGCCTCTCGGGCTGTTAAATCAACCACTTCTTAAGGAGAACAGAATCGAAGCGCGTCACTCTCAGAAAGGCAAACCAGTCTCTCCTTTCTAAACAGAGAAACCAAACAAACCTACATCTCAGCGTCAAATTCTCCTCCTTTTCCCCCACCCTTTAAATCCACAGAGGCTGAACTATACCTTGTTGACTACTAGACTGCCAAATTCCAGGTTTTAAATTAAAGCTGGCTTTGAGCTAGAAGAGCTCAAAAAAGCGCTTGAAACCACAAAACGACCAGCTGTTTTTTCCCTTTTGTCATTTTATAATTTTATAGTCTAAAGTGTGGTTGTAGTCAAGAAAGCAGCAATGTAAAAATGGCCCTTTTTGCCCAATATATCTGCTCCCTCTGGAGCTTTGAGTCATATCTTCTGATTTAATAGTAGTGAAAACTCATTTTTAGCACTGCAAAGCTTACAGAGCTAAGGAGAGAAAGTTGGAGTCTATCCTGACTCCACTACCATCACCACAAAACAGCAACGCAGCAAATAATTTTCCCCAAGTGCTGTGAAAACATTAACAAATCAGCTCGCACATCACTACGATGCGGGAGCGCAGCAGCTGAGTCCACCTGAATATGGACATTTCACGCTGTGTGTGTAACAGCTGGGCTTATTGCTTATAACAGCTTTTTGCCAATTGATCACCGGGGGTGGGGGATGGGGTGTGGGGGGGTAACTTCATGAACAACCATGACAACCCGCCTTTAAAAACGCGACTTGGAAACCACTAAGGAAAAAACCAAAACTAAAAGCGGGTCCCAGCGAACATGACAGACGAACTGTTTTCTCTGTGGGATTGGTGGAGGGCTCTTGCAGGGCTCTTGGCCACGGCCACTGAGTCCGTGCTTCGGAAAGCTAAGTGAGCACGTTCACTAGACCCCAACGAGTTAAGAGCAGCAAGGGTTGACGTTGCGCCAACGCTGCTACGGCGCTCCCGAGGGCAGACAGCCTGGGCACAGCCCCCAGGCCACCTTCTCCTCCTAGGGAGCAGCAGCTTCAGAGAGCCCGGGGCAGAGCAACCAGCAGCTCCCCAGCTTTGGGGTACACAGCCTCCTTGGGCCTAACTTGCAATCCTGCCTGATTTACCTTCCTTTAAATGAACTTTGCCTCCAGCACCTGCTTCTTGTGGGAATTTAGGTTCCCCACTGCCTTTGCTGACTTGCTTTTTATGATTTTCCATGCACGAAACCCATGACTTTTACTGAAGGTAGACTGGAGCGGATGATGGGGTTTTACGTGGGCAACACAGCACTGACTGCCACAGAGGCCTTTTAAAAGGGCAGCTCCATTTTGACCCACAAGCAAGGCAAAAATCACAGCCCCTGTGCTGGGCTGGACATGATTATGCCGGCAAGGGAGCAAACGCTCCCCCTGCCCCACTACTGCCAAAGCGCCAGCAAAGCACCTTGTGTCTCCTCCCTACCTGCGGGTTCCCCAGCCCCTCTGTCAACCTCAGGGGAAAACCTCCGGTGCAGAAGGACATCTCCCTCCAGCTGGCAGCTCCTGCCTCTTCTCCCACCACAGACAGCGAGAGCCGCAGCACTGATGTCACCCACACCTAGTCACTTCTGTTTAAAGAAAGGACGTGCTTTGGACGAGCACTCCTCCTGGCATCACCATGATGGCACTCCTTCTGCCCTTAAAATCAGCAAAGCTACATTTTACCCCAACCAAGTTCAGCACTCGCAGCAGAGTGGGGACTGCAAGGCTCTGGATATCTGCATGCCTCTGGGCACAGGCACACGCGCCATCATCCAGGCACGACCAGGCACGGGAACGCACACAAAGCAAAGCCACGCTGCGGCGCGGACCACACCGACATACCACGGCAGCAGCACTCAAAGATGGCCAACGCCATCGCCTTCGCCAGCCCAGCAGAACAGCCCAGCCACAACCCAGGCAACCAAGATCACACCAGAGCCTACAGATTCACGCCCGCTCAAGTTTTTTAGCATTGACTTATTCCCCCAGGCTGTGTCTGATCACGCACCAACAAAACACAACCACGTATCTTCCTTGGGTGTAGTCATTTCTAGATACAGGAAAAGCAGGGCTCCTGTTGGGAAAGAAGGGGGCAGCATAAGCAAATTAATCAAGTAAAACTTGGAACGGGCTGAAATGTTTGAGAGGAAAGAAGGTACTCAATGAATAAAGAACTTCCAGCACTGCAATGCAGGGCAGAGCTGCTGGAAAACACAAAAGTTTTTCTCCATTTTTGTCAAAATTTCAGAGTTATCCCACCAGCACATGACAGCACGCATAAGGTTGTTGTACAGCCTCTGCAACATGCAGCCTTTCCACAGCAAAACTGGCAAGCCTGCTTGCATGCTTGGGAACGCACTTTACACTGCTGTTCCTACAAGGAAAAAAAAGAACTTGCGCTGCTCTACCAAGACTTTTCCAAAGAAAACTGAATGCGGACTGTGCTGGAAAGGCATATGCGCGATACTATAAATCACAGCGTATGCCGAGATGGAATCTTCTAAATATCTTACTTCACATGGCGTCATTCTAGGCAAATATTGCCTGAGATTCCCTCTCCAATCTCCTTGTAGCTGTCACCTGTTCCTCCGAGGAGGAGCGCCCCACCTCAGAACCCTCTTCTTGCTTTTGCACACCAAAACAAATAGAAACATTACAAGAAGTTGTCCCAGCTCCCAGACAGAACAGACATTGCAACCAATTACCTGTGACACTAGACACCCTGGAAACATCCTGAGCCTGGGTGGAACGGTTTCGACTCTGCTGCCTGCGCCTGCTCGTCGCTGATCTAGTCGTCCGGACGTGAACTTCGCTCACTTTGAAAAAGGCCACCATGAAAGGCTGCTTGTCATAGGGGCCATCTCGGCCTATAAGGCCTGCTTCTCTAGGATTTACACTGAAACCTTCAAATAAAACAGAAAAGCGTGTGTTAGTAAAACTGGGAAGGATGGATTGCTCTTTCCAGCACTGCCACATCCCCATAAGCAGGATTTCCTCTCTTCTTGCTCATGCTGTTCTTTTATCGCTGAACATCCCCCTCCTGCCACCACGACCTACTGACATTTTTACAACAGCACCCCATCCATCCCTGACAAGAGGCTCCACCACAGCGCCTGGCCCTTTTGTATCCCTACGGCATCTCTACTCCATTTTAGGCATTAAAAAGCTATAAGAGATACATAAAATGCAAAGCGCAGATGCATCACAAAATTAGTTTTGCTGCCTGAGAAACACCAAGAGCAGAGTTAGGAGACCTCTTGGATGCAGAGGGCAAAGAGACAGGGTGCTTTTGTCAGGAGCATGGGGATGGGTTATCAGCACATCTCGGGAGGTGGAGGCTGGCATTAACATTTCTTCAGGAAGAACGATGGTTCTCTGCTCTCATTTGCCCCCACGAATGTCTTGAAAAATTGGATGAAGTGATAGAAAGTAAACACAAGCTTGCAGACTGGCTCTGATGCCATTTCTCCTTCCCCACTGCTTATCCTCTGTACTCAATCCCATACGCTTTCCTCCTTTTCCTGTCACCCACCCACCCCAAACTCTTCCAGTTTTCAAAGTTTCTGTGGGCTGTGAAATGCTACTCTTTCAGCCAGCCCTCAGAAGGACCACCTCTGCCTCGCAACCGCATCGTTTTTCCCATGCAGGGCTGCCACCCTTGGCTTGCTCAGATACAAGCAGTGACAGGAGCCACAGCAGCCCTGAGGGCAGCTTCCAGCTCTCAGCCAAGTCATAAGCCCATAGGGGGGGAGAGGTACCCATATACCTGCCCTCTTCTCTTCCTGTCACACCTAAGCCTCACCAAAACTGGGGCCCCAGCTCCATGCCCCCTTCCACTTCTGACTCAGAAACCAGGACCCTACCCCAACCCACCTCTGCCAGCTCATCCTGGTACTGTTCATACCTGGCCTCACTTGTGGGTTAAAGGTACCTCATCTATAGTCACTTCCCTATACAAACAAGACTTGGCGACAAGATGAGAAGTCAACAGCCTTCAACCCGTGCCCTCAGATACTTCAGCTCAGGGTATTCGCTACAGCTGCTCACGAAGGTACAGTGCTCACGCCCCCACACCACCACTGGACTCTACTAGCACCACTTCCAAACAGCATCCAAAAGGTTTCCGAGATGATTCACGTGAATTGGCTTGTGACCTACCATCCTGAGTCACCACGCTCAGCTGGAGCCCCATGTTGTGCTGAGGATTCATCACCCACATGTTACTGGTGGCTGTAACGTCAAACTCCAGCCAGCCTTCCTCCGAGGCCCACACTGCCCGGGTGTCCAGCAGAAACAGGTCAGAAGCTCTGCAGAGGAGAAGAGTAATGACAAGATTGTGCTGTCTGGGATTTTCTCCACTGGCTTCCCTGTTACAACACTGAGAGAAACAAACTGCAATTGCAAAAAATGACGTTAATAGCTAGAAAGCCAACCCCCAAAACCTACTTGCTTGTATCCAGAGTTTTACCACGTGGTACACATACTCCTGCACATTGAATTCAGGACTACAAAGCTTTTTCACTGTTTTGCTTGAGGAAAGCGATCCTAGTTCTTAGATTGGGTGTTACTCCACTGGCAAGTGATTCTTAAGCCATGCTTCCTCCTGAAGAACGTAATTTTAGCCCTGGTTGGACAGTGGTGAGATTACCAGCTTTTCCAGACATTCAATGACTTTTGTTAAAGGGTTTTTGTGGTTTCAGCCCACCTTCCACAACACGGATCTACTAAAATTGACAAAACAAACAAACAAAAAAAATCAAGTATCAAATGGTCATCAAAATGAACCGCCATATAGCCCCTGAAGACATTTTGCTGAGGCATATCAACGGCGATTAGATAGCCTTGTTCCAAGGCTGCCTGTGGTAGGTCTTCTTTATGAGCTTCAGCGTCAAGTGCTCTCAAGTCTACACCTTTTCTGCAGGATCAAATTCCCACTAAAACTCAGTTCAGTTAAACCCACTGGAGAAGCACCCAGAGAAATTCCCTGCACGCATTTTTTCAATTATATTACATGCCTAACTTTCCTATGTGGAACAGCTACGATTCCTATCCAGGATCTGCGATCAACATTACAAAATGGATACCTGGCATTGATTCCACCTCTATCACTCTCTCCCCCCTTGAATATTTTTCTAACAATAACTTAATGGAAATGAGCAAACAGGGTACCTCTCCTTTCCACTCATCAAAGGTTAACTTAAAAAAAAAATTATTTGAATTACATTTTATTTTTGGCCAACTGCTATGTCATACTGCCCAGCAGCTTGGGTTACATGAGATCACACATGGAAAAACAAGCACTTAAGTATATTAGGGCTCCTAGTGCAGCTATTTTTACAGTGTGGAGGCTTTCCTCCGCCTTGCTGGTAGCCGCACGCTCTGTGGTTGACTCAGCAGCCTTTCCCACAGAAGTCTTTGCCAGAGTGCTTCAGGAACAACTCTGATCTTCACCTCCAACAGCAACGAGGGGCTGGGGCTGGCCAGCTGCTATACGTTTTGGAAACCTCTAGGTTGAAAGATTTGGGCATTCCCAGCCGTGGTATATAATTTTAAGTGCTGCTTGAAGGAGGTTGCAAACAGCAGCTGCAGCTGAGACCCCTCTCCAGGATAAGAGATCCTGCTAGATCATTCCTATGCCTTATTAAAAGGTACAGATTGGTCCTCTACAATGAAATGGGCTATATCTGAAAATGGTTTTTCCTAGCACCTATTCTGCCCTTCCTCCTCACACTTTGCTTTTTGATCTCCTGTCTCACCTCCCCTCCTGCAAGTGCCACGTTCTCCCCTACACGCTCCTGCTCCAGGGAACATCTCACTCGAGCCTCCAGATTACCATAGCTTCGGTGTTATTCCCACGCAAACCAAAGAGGTCCAGCTGCAAAGCTGCTGAGACATCTGTATGAGCTTTCACGAACATTTGACCACTTTGAATTAGTCAGGTCTGCAGCAAGGTAAAGAGGAGGCTCAGAGCTTTTTCCCCCTTGCCTTGCATTTCGTGAAGGCACTTGGGCATCACAGAGCTGTAAAGCCAAAAAGGACCACAAAGCATCATCTAGTCTATCCCCCTGAACTCCAGGCAGGATCAGCTACATCCATGTTATTCCTGAGATGTTTGTCTGGCTTATTCTTAAAGACTTCCGGTCTCAGGAACTACTCAGTCACTCCAGGAAATCAAATATGCTTTCAAATATAATGAATTGGGGGGTGGGAGGGTTGGTTGTTTGTTTTGGGGGTTCTTTTTTTTTTTTTTTGCTTTTCCTGGTAGTATCTCATCTAGTGGAGGAAGGAATGACACAACAATTTCCTCTTCTTCAAGAAAGACTAGGTCTTCAGTCTTTCCTCATGGGCCATATTTTCTAGACTTTGGCTATTCTCATCACTCTCTACACGCCCAACTCCAACCAAGAGCTCACTGATGCTGAGTATAGTGGAAGGACAATTTTCATGTGTCTAACAGACTGTGCCTCTGCTCATACATTTCAGAATAGTATTTTGGCTTTTTCCTAAAACTCACACTGTTAACTCATGTTCATCTTGTGATTCTCTACAAACCTTAGATCCATGCTCCTGAACTGCAAAGTACCTACTCATTTCCTTTGGTGACTTGGCATGCCTAAATGTAATACCTTGCACTTCTTTCTACCAAATCACACTTCTTTGCCCCTGACTGAACCTCCAGCGAGATTATTTAAAATACAAACTTGTCTTCCAGTGGTCCTCTCCAATCTCGGCGTCCTCCATAAATGTAAAGACTGCCAGATCAAGGTAAAATACTACCAAATCAGAGTCTTACATTTCACACTCACTTTGCACAGGCTTAAACTCCTTTATAAAACACAGACTAATGGACAACTGGCTTTTCCAATCTTTCCAGTCTTTAACCCCACCCCATTTTTTACCCTGCAAAATAGGGTCGTATGTCTTCCCCTCCTCTAAGAAAATCATCTCAAATGTGGCCAACTAATAAATTCTTGGAAACTGCTGCACATACATACAGGCTCAATGAAGCTTAGCAGCGAAATTTTCTGGATGTTTCATCTGCAGAAAACATGCTTCCTCCTCCTCTCCCTCTTGGTAAACCAAATACCAGGTACCACCTTGAGGAGAGTCTGCTCTACCCTACAGCTGCATGGCAGAAAAGAAACGTCTTTGCTATTCCTGACAAAAAGCCATACCACGTCTGCCCTGGAACGGAGACCAGGAGATCTCCCATGCTGGACCCGGGGCAGAAGGGAAAGAAAATCTAATTAGAATGGGAAGGGTGCTGAACCTGGTGCAATAGTGAGGGACACAGACATATAAGGACTAAATAGAGAGGCCTTGGATAGAAGTGGAAAGTCTTCAGAGATGAGGGAGTAGAGGAGGATCTGTGATCAGCACGTACTCTGTGAAGCAAGCTCATTGTTCCTGACTCAGCATTCCTCTGCTTCTAAAAGTATTTGTGAAACTACTGGCATCTTCCTGTGGGGACGGCTCACAGAGGATTACAACCTACTATTGCTGCCATTTGTGGCGATACTGCTGCCAAGAAACTCAAGTGGCAGAGGTCTGTGGTGTGAATCCCACAGTTCCAGTCCTGCCCATAATGTTCACAGGGAAATGCAGCCTCCTGATTGAATTTGCTTTTCTTTTTTTCCAGTTCTGCTTTCTAAAGACCATGGAAATCATATTTATTCCATTCCTCTCCCATTAAGACTTCAAAAGAAAGACAGGCAGCCTAAGAGCTGAAGTGGCTGTTTAGCCTTATATTATTAGCACTTCTGATGCTGGCCTGTAGGGAGATTGAGGCAGGGACCATTTGTGTCTTCTGTGTTTGCACATTGTTTGCTTGGCAGGTCCATATTCTGCAGCCTCGCCTACTGCAAAGGTTGGATGAGCAAAAGAACAGGGGACTCCTGCAAGGCAGCGGGCAGTGCTGGATAACAGCTTTGGAGAGGTGGATTTCACGTGGTTCCCCTCTGAGTACGGAAAGTCCTGCAGAGCAAACTTAAGGCTTGGGCTGAAAAGTGCATTTGCCACTTTCTGAATGTCCAAACCGAAATGCCTGGCCCAGGTTTGCAGAAGCACCCACAACTGCAATCAAAGTCAACAGAGGTCTGTTCTGGGTAAAATATGTTATATAGTGCCATACATTGGAGGCGGGGGAAGTCCATCAGAAAAATCCAGCTGAAACTGGAGACAGTTTACTCTCCCCTGACTATGCATCAGCTTCTCGTTTGCTTGACCAGAATAATGCCACCACCTTCCCCTTAGGGCCATGCATATCAAGAAAAGAAATAGTTTGGGAAGCAGGCAGATTTCAGGCTCACGCATGCTATACAGAAGCAGATGCAAGCCCATATTCAAAGCCAAATCTGGAGTGGACAAGAAGGTGAGAAATGGATCATATACAGAGCAAGTCATACGAAACAAAGTGTTGAATTTCCATTCATTAAGTGATCACATCAACCCTGTGTGAGGCAGGCAGGGAGGCAGGCAGGGAGGAAGGCAGGGAGGCAGGCCCTCGGTCTTCCAGGACAAAGTCTGCATCCATGTAAATGGACAACTTTATTGAAAAATATCTCAAAACGTTGGCATTTGAGAATAGGAGAGGTGAGATGGGGACCTGAGGGAAACAGGAAGGGAGCATGAAGAATGAGAAAAACTGGGAAAAGAAAACTGGAAGCAATGCATGAGCCAATACCTACGACGAAGAAGGAAAGAGTATCTGCTCTTAGGACAGACTGAGGCAAAGGAGAGTCAGACCACAGATTTCGTGCACAACCAACTCCACATTTCAAGGATATCACACATCTGCAGAACAGCACCTGCACAACAGTATGGAGGACTTTCAAATTCAGTGTACAGACAAGACATTTCATCAGCAAAACAGACAGTTCCTTAACATCATCTCTGTCTAAACCTGCCTCTAGTTGCTTACACATCTCTTGTCATACCTCACTATCACTGTGATATCTGACAGTCTCATCTCAATTTTCAGTGTGTTTCATTATCTGGATGAGTGTGCTTACTGATTTGCATAATAAGGGTGCTGTAGGCCTACTATATATTAATTTCATATTATTAAAGGGAAGCAAGTGAATGGGAGAAACCGAGGCAATGGGGCTGAAACAACTTTTCTGAGACAAGAGAGGAAATTAAATGGGAAGATGCAAGTTAGGGATTCCTAACTCAAAACAGGAGCTCTTTTTGTTCTGGATCAGAGCCATGAGTATGGTCTGAAGGCTGAAGAAATAGACGGAAGTGTTTCCAAAGCCTCTGGAGCAGGACCAATGAGCTAAGGTCAAGAGAGCAATCACAAGTGGCT